CATCATGGAGGTGGGAGCTTGAGGCAGCTGGTCACATTGTATCTGCTGCCAGGAAGGGGAGAGAGGTGAAGGCTGGTGTTCAGCTTGCTTTCTCCCTTGTATTTAGTCTGAGACCCCAGCCGATGGAATAGCACTGCCCACAATTAAGGTGAGTTTTCCCACATGAATCAATTCAGTATAGAAACGCCCTTACAGGTATGCCTAAGGAATTGTCTCCTAGGTCATTCTAGATCCTGTCAGACTGATAATTAATATTTACCACTACAGCATCTTCATGAAGAGCTAGCAACGCCTAGAACATTGTGTATTAAAAGACAAAAAGAGCACCCTGGTGCCTGAGGCAGGAGGATTGCCATGAGCTTGAGGCCAGTCTCAGCTCTAGACTCTCTCTGAAAACAAAGTAAATAAACAGACAGAAGGAATTATTTCACTGCCCATTGTCATAGATGTACTAAGGTAGTTATTATATGCCATTCGTTATTTTCACCTCTGTTTAATGAGAATGCATAAGAAGCTAGGAGATTGGCCCAAAGCCAGGGAGCTGGTGACACTCCAGGTGGGCTCAGGGATGAGCTCACTGTTCAGGGAGGACTCTCCGTGCATGTGGAGCATCTGGTAAACTTAATGTCACTGTGATGAAATACCTGAGAAAGCCACCTAAGGAAGGGTAGACTCACTCTGTCTCAGAGTTCAGAAGTTTCAGACCAGTGACAGATAGATCCTCTGGCTAAAATAGTGAGTTCCTCCATGAGCAAAGACATACTAATGCCCTTGAGTCTTCTGTCTCACACCCAGGGTTTTGAAGCCCACTGCTTGAGTGATCTCAGCTTTAGGTGAGACATGAAAAGATGAAAGTGAACACTCCTGGATGGAGAGGAGGGCGGTTTCCCTCCCACTTTGTGAAGAATGGTACAAAGGAACCAAGGAACATTTTATCTCCTTGATCCATGCTCCTTTAGGGGAGACACTAACAGAAGCCACCCATGGGCTCTCTGTCAGGATGGCCCAGAAGCTGATGGAGCCACAAACATCCTGGGCCATACAGAATGGGACATAGAAGCAGAAGCATGTGTGTTAGGTAGACATGTTCTGTATGGAGTGCGAACATGCTTCTAAGAACACTTGCAAAGGAACAAACAGGGTTGAGAGCGTGTCTCTACTGCTTCCTGCCTGAGGATTAGGGGCAAGCAGTGTAGAGCCCCAAAATCCTTCCTTTCTCACCAGCAAGTCAGGAACGATAATGCCTGCCTCCTGCGGTTATTTAGAAGGCTCAGTAAGATCAAAACACCTAACAGCTAGCCAAATACCTAACCTATAGCCAGGAGCTTCCTGGCCTAGTTGCCTCCTCTTCAAACTCTTCACCTGTCTATAGCAGATCTCCAGTAAAATCACACCTCCTCTCAAAAGCTCTCCTTGCCTTCCTTTGTCTAAGCAGCACTTGCAATCTTGACTTGGCCTTCGGGACCCTGCGTGATGAAACTCTCATGTCCTCTCACGCCCATATCTGTTATCCTATACATAGCTACACTGTGGGATAAGTGCGTGTGTTTGCCATTCTTGCTCCTCCTACACTTTTTCTCCCTTAATGGAAGAATTCCATCCCATCCCCCCCCCCCCCCCCCCGTATCCCTGGGGCAAGTCTGAACTTCCTTAACACATGCTCTATTAAGTCCTTCCTGGTTCGTCAGTCAAGGAGATCCCTCCATTTTGCCTTTGCCTATGGTTTATCCGAATCTCTTAGGAAACTGCTGGGGCATAGTAGTTTTTGTGACCAAACCTTATTTTCCTTGCCTGTAAAGTTTCTGAAGTCAGGATTTTGTCCTCAGTGTATCCACCCAGCATCAGACTCATTATATGAATAAATGAAGGATGAATGAATGAATGAATAAATGTCATCCTTTCCTAACTAGACTTCCCTTAAATGGAATGTTAAAACTTTTTCAGACACCAATATGTGCCAGCTGATTTTTGTCAATTTGACACAAATCTAATATATCTGGGGAGAGAGGATCTTAGTTGAGAAAATGCCTCCCTAAGATTGGCTTCGAGGCAAGTCTGTCAGGTACAGTTTTTATTATTGATTGATGTAGGAGGGTGCAGATCACCATGGGCAGTTCCACCACTGGGAAGGTGGTCCTGGGTTGTTTATGGAAACAAGATGAGTAGGCCGTGAGGAGCAATCCAGTAAGTAGCACTCCTCCTTAGTCTCTGCCTCAGTTCCTGCCTCTAGGTTCCTGCCATGGCTTCCTGTTCTGACTTCCTTCATGACAGACAATGAACTATAAACTGAACCAAACCCATTCCTCCCCAAGTTGCTTTCGGTCATGATGTTTATCACAGTAATAGAAAGCAAACTACATCACTATGAATATTTTGGTTTTATGAACAGTCATTGTGATGTTTACGGGAGGCTTGTGAAAGGGAAGGTATGCCGGGCTGAAGACTGAACAGGAAGTGACTAAAGAGATGGTTTTCCCTGAGGCCTCAGCCATGATGAAGGCAGAAAGGGAACAGGCAGGGCAGCTCTTGCAGCTTCCTCCAGGTGGGGAGCCAAGGGGCACAGCTTTGGCCTGCAGCCTTTGTGGGCTAAGGGGAATCTTAAATCCCAGACAAATGTTCAGTCACGCATCATCCACCCAGAGCAGTGGATGGGACTAGGACCCCAGAGGATGTTGGCAACAAACCCAACAAATCTAGATCCTAGAAGCCACGGTTCATTTGGGATAGGTCCAGACACAGACATTTGGGCGTGCTTTACCTCACCCATGGGTGGAGTGGAATAAGGTGGGTTCCGACTCTCTTTGAAGCCCCAGGGAATGGTATTCTCATGAATAAGGGCTTTGTAAATAGGAATTAAGTCTTTGCAGGTTAGTTTTTGTAACTTAACATGTTGGAGTCATCTAGGAAGATGGAACCTCCATTGAGAACTACCACCATCAGATTAGCTTACAAGCATGCCCGTGGGGCCATTTCTTGATGAGTGATTGATGTAGGGGTGCCTAGTCCACTATGAGAAGTGCTACCCCTGGGCTGAATCAGAAAGCAGGCTGAGCAAGCATCAATGGCTTCTGCTTCAGTTCCTGCTTCCAGGTTCCTGGCCTGAGTTGATGTCTTGGCTTCCCTCAGTATTGGACTGTAAGTTGTAAGATGAAATAAATCCTTCCCTTCCCAAGCTGCTTTCAGTCATGGCGGTTGTCACAGCAACAGAAAGCAAGGACAAAATCCCAGAGCCATTTGAGAGGCATAGAATGAGAGTCATACCCTAACTTAGCATGTGTGTGTGTGTGTGTGTGTGTGTGTGTGTGTGTGTGTGTGTGTATGCACGCGTGCACACATGCACTCATATGTTCTCGTGCACAGGTTACACATGGACACATGGACAAGTGAGTGAAGGTCAGAGGTCAGCCTTGGGTGTTGCTTCTCAACTGCTTTCCACTTTTTTGTGTGTGAGTCAGGGTCTATCTCTCTCACTGACCTGGAATTTCTCAGCCAGTTGGCTAGGCGAGTTAGCCGGCCAGCTTCCAGGATTTGCCTGACTCTGCCTCCCTTCCCACCACCGCTAGCATTAACAGATGCCTGCTGCCAGGGCTGGCTTTGTATATAGATTCTAGGGACCCAAACTTAGGTCTTGGACTGAGCCATCTCCCCAGCCTTTTATTTTGATTTACAAGAACTTTTTTAGTTTTTCTCCAGACGCTCATGAGGTCGGTAGGGCTTGACCCTGGGGAGGGGGTGGGAGGCCTTGGAAATGCTCCTGCCTGCCAACTGCTTTCCGCTCAGAATAATTAGAACTTACAGTAAAGAAACATCGGAGATACAGAGAGAGTTGGCAAATGTTCACACTTACAAGATCTTTGTTTTTAATGGGAATTACCAGTGATTCCTCACCTTATAAGAGACAATAATGTCTTCTTAGCAGGGTTCCTAAGTATATTTGGCAAATATGTATTCAGGGAACTTCTCAAATAATGGCTCGAGAACAAAACTCAGATACATTAAGTGTCTTGACACTCAGGTCTTCGCCTGTGGGATCTTTACGCAGAAGGCATTTGGAAGCGTCTGTTATGTCCGTGGTCCTGCAGTTTTTGAGGATCTTCGTTCAAATTTCAGTTCCTTTTGTAGAAATCACCAGAGGCAAGTGACTTAAAACCTTGTAGCCACATCCTACCTTTCTTTCAAATGGGGCAGAATTTTTTGCATTCATTTGACAAACATTTACTGTGCAAAGATACTAGTGATACTGATTAATCAAATTCGTAGTTGTTAATTCGAGGGCAAAAAAGAACTTCACATGTCACCCAGTTCAGAGTTTTTCTTTTCCAATGAAGAAACTGAGGCTGAGAAAGGGAAAGTCATTTGACAGGGGTTGCCATAGCAAGGGGGCCAGAGCAGAGTTCTTCCATGGGAGAGAACCCCTGCCCAAGTGACTCTGAGACCCTGTATGGTACATCCCAGTGAAGCAGGTCCACTTTCTACACCAGATGCCAAGGCTCAGAGAGCCAAGCTGCTTCACTCATTCTTCTGGCATGCCGCTGACAGGACCACCACACCACCATGCTGTATGTGTACCTTCCACCCCACCACAGCACGGGATCAATCCTCTCTGTCCATCAGACAGTCGCTTTTGTGCCACAAGCCCTATACTGGCACCTGGGATGCACAAACCAGCTATATAGCCCCTACCCTGCAGAGGCTGGGTCTACAGGAGAACACACCGCAGGTGATGACTGGAAGACAGTGTTACTGCTCACAGCAAGAGAAATACAGCACAGAGGACGGCTCTCCTGAGTCCCATGGAGAGGCTGTGGAGATGACCTCTTTATCCAAGGTCTTCAGGGTTTAGAACACCACTTGCTTTGCTTCGTGGCCATGGGACCAGGAACAAATGCCGTGTTCCCAACCAACGTACATTTGCAAAGGATGCTGGGGAGAGGACTGTGAGGAAGCACTGGGGACCAATCACGCTCTCACTTAATCCATTCTCTTCTCTTCCTCAACAGAAAGCACACCGCCCTGTCCTCCAGGATCCGATGGCCTTGGAGAGGGGGCTGCAGGGCCTGCGGACACCAACTCTTCCCAAAGTGCTGACATGGAGCCAGGTCAGTCCCTGTCATCTCTGATTTTCTGTCATCAACTGCGAGCCTGAGGCTTAGTCAGAAATGCATTTTAGAATCTGGAAATGCATATGCTTTTCAGGCTGTATAGGAAATTTAAGAGATCAAGTGACAGTGGCAGCGAATTTCTTAATAAGAGGACAGGAGGCAAAGGCTGCTGGGAGCTGTAGTGCCTGTCTTAATAAGAGGCAAAGGCTGCTGGGAGCTGTAGTGCCTGGTGTGTTTGCCTGGTGAGGAGATGGTGGAACTACTGCTGGGCTGCTGTCCTTGGGATCCTCCTCATGTTTCATACTGCAAGCAGCACAGCATAAGTGGGCTTGGGCATCCAACAGGAATGTGATGATGGTGCGGGCAGCCAATGGGTACAGGCTACGTCTGTCCAGGGCAACAAAAGCTATGATGGATTGGAGTTCGTTATCGTATCCAGGAGACCAGGGTGCAAGTCCTGGAGCTCGTAGTGAAGCCAGAGGCATGGTTGAGTAAGAGAAGACAGCAGTGAGTGGGGGACTATCAGAAGGGGTCCAAGAATGTTCTCTGGAAGGCTTTCTTCATGTTGCCACACAGCGTGGCAACATATAATGGGTAGGAAATGCAGCACAGTGATGATAAAGCTGGGCTGTATGTGGAAAGGAGCAAGCTGGAGGAGTGTAACCCACAGTAGGGCAGCTTCGTTCATGGAAAGAGACCCCCATGAAGGAGGCTGCAGAGCTGGAAATGAGGAGAGGGGAGTAAGCTCTTCACTGGAGATGTACTGTATATCCACCCATACCAAGTTCAGATTCTTGTCCTCTGAGCAGTCCCATAAGGAGACATTTGGGCTCTATTGGACTCCACATTGCAGTAGTAATGAATCAACTCCAGAATCTCAGTGGAAAAACAGACTGAGTTCTTACTCATAATAAAGGCCAGTGCCATCTGGTAGAGAGCCCTCATACTACCTGGAACACATGGACTCCTTGGTCCCTGCTCCAGTACATACAGCTGGAAAGTATTGGCTGTTAAGCACTTTGGATCAGAAGTGACATGCCCAGCCTACTGGGTATTTCAGTCTCTGCTTGATGTCCAAGGTCCTGGGGTCTGTGGGAAGGAGGTAATGAACAAGCCCTAACCACATTCACTAGATTAGACAATTATTTTCGTCTCACAGGTCAACAATTGGGAGACTCAGAGGCATTCACTGTACTATCCACAGTCTTCCAAACACAAAATACTGTGGTTTGGGTGTTGCATAACCTCTGTTTGGAACATTCATATTGCCAATCAACAAAGACATATGGAATAGTTACCATAGTCTGGGAAATAACAAAACCAGAGGTGGCTGGAGCATATATAACTGCACAGCACAGCAAATGCTCTGCCTTGGGCAGATGGTGCTCCAAGAGCCCCTGAAAGTTGGAACTTCTGTCTGTAGGGACAAGTAAAATGAGAGCACATGCAGAGAGGCTTGACTTACACATCTCACTTAGCTCACATTACCCCATAAGTCAGTTTTCATAGCCCCATTTCCAAGATAAGAAAACTGAGTATGGCCCAGCCAGGTAAGAGGAGAGCATACGTGTTCCTCAACCCCACCTAAGGCTCGTGTGCAATAATGACATGGTTGACCAATAATGACAATAGTGACCATGATGTCTATCGGTTCCAATAGAACTGTAACTGGATCTCCCCCACTTTGTCTAAACCTTATAAATACGGTCTCTGGTCTTCCTAGAAATCTCCAACTAGGGCTTTCTGTCCCTGCTTCCTCAATATGCCCAATATGGAGTGCTGCACTTTGGAGACACCGGCTTCAGCCCTGACAGAGGGAGACTGAATTACTCATCCCTATTATGGTGCCACCCACAGAGCTGGGCCTGGTGCAAGGCTTGTTGAGCTCATCTGTACTAAGGGAGGAAAGAAAGACATTGTGCAAAAATATCTGGTTGAAAGATCTGAATCTGGCAGGGTGGGGTCACATACATCAGCAAGTCCTTGTCTCTCCAGCTCCATCAGCCGTCACCCCATCTCTGCACTCAGTGCAGTATTTGCACTGACAAATCTCTTCTGTACTTTTCTCATCCCTCTGATCACCTCCTCTGTCTGCACATTGACCCGGACACTCTTGGTCCTGTATTCTGATGGTAACCCGCTCACTGGGTTTGGTAGCCTTTGTCCCTTCACCTGTCTAGCACAGGGGCACCTGTCACAGCACCTCTCAGATCATATCATGTGTCTGCCAAACCTTCCTATGATCGTCTACCTTACACTGACAAAAACCAAACAAACAAACAAACAATAGAAGCTCTCCTCTCACCCACCAGCCTTGATATCTAGTCCCTGGGTCCTCTTTCCATCCAGTACTCTGAGCACTAGTTTCTCGTGCCGCTCACCTCTTCCAGGTTCACTGAACCACAGAAATGTTCCTGCTTTGGAGCACTTACCATGGGCTTTCCTTTGAGAAAAACACTTCTGGCCTAGGGAACAGAGCACACAGAAGTAAAAGTCATTGTCCTTCTGAGCTGACCCATGCAGGATGAGATGCCTTTAGTGGAAGTATGTCAGCTGCCCCAATGGCTGCAGAGGTCCAGGGGGGTCCTCTGGCCCCAATGGCAAGGAATATGGGGGGGCATAGCCTTCCTTATCCTACCACACACTGTGGGAAAGACCATTTCTCCCAGCCTAGGTCTTTCTAGAACCCTCTTCCATTGGAATATTTATGTCCACCTGATGTGTTCTTTATTGCAAGATATGTTTATTCATTTCTAACCATCTCCCATTAGGATCTGATCTCCAGGAGAACAGGTTTCTCCTTCTTGTCCCTGCAATGTCCTCGTGCCTAGAATGATGCCTAACACACAGTAGACAGTAAATACAGAGTGAGTGAGTGAATGAGAAGTCATTGATCAACAGTTTCTACGGTTGCTCACTTCCCTGCTAGTCCCAACAGGACTTGAACAACGCTGAACCCCCAAACCAGGATATGCCCACTCTTCTCTCCTCCACCGTTCTCTCTGCTTGCCCAAGAGACTAAAGTCCCTAGGGCACATCACAGAAGTCACGTTGTCCCATCTAGCACCCAGAGCTCCAGGGCTTTCAAAGGCAACAGCAGATCCTGGTCTTTGAGCCTGCTACACTGGAAGGACCTGGTTACTGTTCACTGGACTCAACAGATGGAACAGAACTTTATCAGCCCAGGGCTCCTTGGCTCCGCCTCCTTTTCAGGTCCTCTTTGCCTTCAGTGAGGCACTGGGAAGCCCTGGTTATCAGCCAGGCCCCCTCCTGCCTACCACCTGCCTCAGAGATCAGGAAGAGAAGGCAAATGGAACACTAATGAATTCAGAGCTAAGCTAAATCTGGAGGTGTTGCAAACAGCATGGAAGAGGGAGACAGGACTTCAAAGGATCTCTCTGGGAGGGAAGGAAAGCCAAGGATGTAAACAGCCAGGATCAGCTTCACACTGACCCATCTTGGACAACCACATGCAAGAGTGACCCAGATCAACCTCCTGTCCCTAGGGGTGTCACTTGGCAATCTTTAAATTAGAGACCTTTTAATTGATGGGCTGACTCATTCAAGCTTTTTCACTTCAATGACAAAAGAAAAAAAAAAGAATTTGAGTAGGTTCATAGCTTAGAGTTAATTAATCAAGTAAGCAAGACAAAAGCATTTACTACTTCAAATAAAGGTAGAGTTAGGAAGAACGAAGGGAAGGAGGGAAGCAGGAGACAAGAAAGGGATGTGTAGGTCTTGAGGATGACAACGTGACAAGTCAATAAGGCCTTGAACTTAATGAGCTTCGGGAATGGAAAGCTCAAGTCAAATAGTAGTAATGGTGGCCGTTTTTAGGATCTTTTCAGATCCACTGTTCATTCATTCAGCTATTGGCATTCAGAACTTCACACCAGGAGCACCATGGGCTGTTTCTCCCTGTGTATCTCAGAAAACTCCCTTAAAGTCTTAAAGGGTGGGTGATCTCTTAAAGCTCATGAAAGGTGAGGCTCCAGAAGCACAGAGATGATTATGTCTTTACAAATGATAATGGCACAATAGCTATCCACACATAAAAGCTTGGAAGTAGACCCCTCCTCATATGCAAACGTGACCTCAGAAGAAATTGCGACCCTGCATCTAAAAATTAAAACTATAAACTCTTAGAAGAAAACTTGGGTGTAAATATGCATTATGTAATGGTTTGGCACCTACAAAGGGCGAAGAGGAATACAATAGATAAAATGGATTTCAAAATTTTTAAGTTTTGTGCCTCAATGGACTGTCTGCCGCAAGGCAACTCCAAAATAGGAGATGGTGTTTGCAAACCATATATCTAATAAGGGATGTCTATCTACAATATATAAAGAACACAACTCAATGATAATATGATAACATATTTTTTAAATGAGCCAAGATGTTGAAGTAGATATTTATTCAAAGAAAATACAGAAGTGGTCTATACACATATAAAAAGGTATTTAATATCCATAGCAAATCAGAGGCATGGGGTTGCTTATGCAGCCCAGCTTTTCTCATGCCAAAGCCTCTGTCTGTCTCATGCCTCCACAGACCTGGGAAAGAGGCTACAGTGGGGAGAGAAGGCTGGTGTGCCTCAACAGGCTTTCACAGGGAGGTAGGGAAACCACCCTGGAGGGTATGAAAGAAAGGTTTGGCCGCATCCCCTCATCGAGCAGCAAACTTCCTGTTTTCAGGACCTTGTCCTCTTCAATATTATTGACAGCTCCGGGGGGGGGGGGAAGGTTGTTTACACAGGTTGTACATGATGAGATAGTGTCTATTTATTTGTCATTTTAATAATTAATAATTAAAATGTTAAATTGGTCTGTGTAACTTATTTAAGATAAAATATCAAGCTGTAATAGCAGCATCAATAACATATTTCTATGAAAACTATTTACAAAAGTAAAAAGGAGAGCTGGATAGGAAAGCCCCACTTTACAGTGGGGGAGATTTCTTTAGTGGTTGGCTCAGCGGAAGATGTTCTTGCTCTGCCT